AGTCGTCGCGAAAGAACTCAATCGCGCACACCCCGGTGACGACTCCAACGTCCCACAAGGCGGCCGAGTCTGAGTCTCCAAAATCTACTGGCTCGGGTGGAGGCGCCTCCGGTACCATGTCCTCATCTACCACACCGACATCCTCAAAACCGAGCGGTGTGGTTCCAATCGCGCCTGGTCCGCCTAAGTCCAACAGCTCCGTAAACTTGGCACAGACTCGCACTGTCGCTCCTGCGCCGAAGCGTGTTCGCGGCTCGAGCAAAGCGGAATCACAGGAGCTCGAAATGGGCGATGCGGACGATACGAGTGGTAGAGCGCCATTGCGCAGAAAAGACACTGCCATCGCTAGTCCCAGTCCTTTCCCAGGCCAGAATCTGGGCGCACTTCCGATGGGTGCTATGGGCCAAGGCTTGCAATCATCTGGTCCTGCTGAATGGGTAGGTAACATTTGCTCAAAGATCAAACGAAAAATACTAACGAATGAACTACAGGAATGGTTGACTATGAGCTTGTGATCTCCGCAAATTCTCGCGCATTCCACATTATCCACTACCAGTTCCAAACACCGATCTGGAGGAGCCCTTTGGGGCATATTACGAACCTATGTCTGCGTTTGCTTTCACACGATGTACCCGGTGTTTCGGAGTTCCGCGAGCATGGTCATGCTAGGGGCCTATTTGCTTGTTCACCCACACGTCTTTACCTCGCCTTTGATACCTCCAAACTTTCCGCGATGCGATTTACACCCTTGCAACGATAGACGCGGTCTGGCTGCTTTTTCTTCCCGGTTTTTTGTGACATACCCTGTTTGCTTTTGTTTTCCCAACTGGCTAGCCAGCAAGATGGAGGAGGCAGGCGCTCCATCAAGTTGCAACAACCGCTCTAATACCTTGACGAAGACGGAGGACCGCTCATGTCTTATAAGACGTCCTGTCTTATAGGAAGGAGGTGGTTCGTGTCACATTGCATGAGCTTATGAGAGAAAGAGAGAGAAGAGAGAGATATCCCGGGGGTTCCACGCGAATGCATAGAAGAAGGGTGGTGAAATGTACGCATCTTCTGCACATTTTGGTGTCTTCGAAGATGCTGCTGAGTTCGACTCGAGCCTTTGTTCTAGCTTTTCCATTATACACGGATGGAATGGGAATCTAGGTGGTGGACCCCTACTACGAGTTTTTCCATATACGAGCAAAGCACACAAGACGAGAGACGAAAGGTGTGTATATAGGAGACGGGGAGACTTACACGGTGTCCTCTATTTTTGTGATATCCTTGACGACCGATTGCTTTGGGCGTAACGTACCGTGGAGGAGAGGCAGCGAATGCTATATCTTTAACGATCTTTCGAACTTTTCATGGGGGTTGGCTGTGATGCCCAGGTCTGTAAGACGCACTAATCGACTTGCCGCCCATGTGTTGCCTGCCCTGACTTACTTTTCTTCTCATACGATTGCAAGATATGATTGTAGGAAACGTTCGGAACGTGTTTCCGAGCCCCTCCCTGCACCGCATACGTCACACTTGGCTTAGGTAAAGTGCGGAGCATATCCAACATTGTGCCTTTACCAACAATCATCTCTCGACGCGTATCTTGGGTACCACCACTACTTGCATGAGAACAGTGTAGATACGCTAATACCTTCGATTACAATCCACAATGCCGAAAGCCCTCATTTTGGTCGCCGATGGATCAGAGGAGATTGAATTCGTAACGCCCTACGACGGTATGTCTTGCAACATCCATCTCTCCTTTGAACACACGCTACCCCCGGCCACAAACAACATCAAAAGTGCAGTTGAGGCAAGCACTAACAACAAAATCCCTAGTTCTAACCCGCGCGGGCTTCGAGGTGGAATCTGTTGGTGTACAACTTAAGAACAAAACATACGCACAGTAAGAAGTCCCTCATCTATATCCATTTCCAACCAAGTTCCCCCAGAACAAAGCCAAAAGTGACTAACACCATTTGCCTTGTGAAAGTATGTCCCGTAACATACGCATTGTCCCGGACTACCACGATATAGGCTCCCCATGGACCGTATTATCGTATGAAGACTACGACGTTCTAATCCTCCCCGGCGGCGCACCAGGCGCAAAGACGTTTTGTTCTGACCCCTTCGTCCTCGCGTGCATCAATGACTTCTGTCACAAGAAGCGATGGGTAGCGGCTATCTGCGCGGCGACGACGGCGCTCGTTGCTGCGGAGAAGACTAAGGTAATGCCGTTTGAGGATTACGATAAGAGCGTGGTTACGAGTCATCCCAGTGTGAGAGAGGAGGTTGAGAAGGCGGGGTGGGAGTATAGCGAGGAGAGGGTCGTGGTTAATGGGAAGTTTATTACCAGTCGCGGGCCGGGGACTGCGATGCTTTTTGCGCTTACGATCGTGGAGGAGATATGTGGGAAATATAAGAGGGCGGAGGTGCAGGGGCCGATGGTTTGTGCTGAGACTCTGTAAGGAGCGTAGGGGCTAAGATGGGGATGATGTGGAATGACTTGAACTAGAATCGGGAAAAGGGAAGGGAAGGGGGCAACTCTAGTGGCTGCCGAGTATGGTATTGAGCCGCGAGACGATAGAATATAGTTGATTTGTACAAAGCGAGGATTGGTGACGCCTTATGCTGTAGCTATTGCTATACATGCCTTTACTCACTCATACTACGAGCCTCGAAGTACCATAATTACTCCCGAAAGTATACTTCGCACCGTAATATGCATTGAATCTGTGCACCCGATCATCTCTTCTCACACATACAAATAGAAGTCTGAACACCGCATAGGCTAAGAGAGGTCTGTAGTGCGCATCTCGCGAGGAATGCGCCGAACTGCAGCTATCTTTTCTTCGGATTGATGAAGCGTGTCCAACTGCGGCTTTAACCACGGTCCGCTTGCCAGGATCTGTTCACTTCTCGGATGCATATCTTTTGTATCGGCTACTCGGTTTGTTATCTTTACCTCTGCTTGGAAGCTTCCTTCTATTCTCTGCTCGCTGACTTCGGTCGTAGGGGGAGGAGGACCAGGGCTACCAACTCCACTGTCATAATATGATCATTTTGAACCTGCAAGGTACGGAAAATCCACAGCTTCATACGCCGTCTTACCATTAAGTGCAGTGAGATGAAGTGAGACTCTTGGCACGTGAACTTTGGTGCTGCGCAAGTGATTTGGGGGATACCAAGTCAACATCAAAGCCATCGCAAACATACCGTATACCAAAGTGCAATCTCAATAACCAGCCCGAGCCAAGACCAGGCCCTAGTTTGAGGTTAAGGCGCACTCTATCGTTGATGATGCCAAGAGCGCCACGAATTATTACTGCACCTGATGGTACGCCTATGAAGATGCTTGCTGTACGAGCAATTAATAGAAAGCTTACCAAGAGCGGTTTATTTTTGCGCAGATGTGAAGATCACGTGAGCACACCGGTGTGTTAGCACCGGGCGATCTACATCCCGAATTGATGACGGCGAAGAGGCGGGGAAATCGGTCCGCCTAGGGCAACGGCCAACCTCAGCAACGAGGGCGAACGCGAAAGCGAAAGTTTGGATACACATTTGCATGGGAGGGTGGTAGAGCTCTTCTACGCTCTGATTGGACACCGGAATACGCGCGATACGATGGGCTAAAGTTTGTCGAGACGAGAACTGTCCTACAATCGCCAAGTGCCACAATGCTGTTCAAGATATGCCAGTGGGCATTTCCTTGTGGTATGTACTACGTGGTAAGTGTGGCTGGCCATGTGCTTGGGCTTGCTGCGCGACATATCGGTCTGTTTTAACGGCGCTTACTTCTTCGTTGCCTGGTTGGACGCGTGGACATGTCCATGTACTAGGGTAAGCGATGAGGCGTCTTTCGCATCGGTTATGTGGTTTGTCCATGGGTCCTCCATGATAAAGTGCTTACGATGCGTTTGTTGGAGGACCAAGAGCGAGGAAGGTGGTGCAGCGACATGTCGGAACATCATGATCCGGTGTGGGCAGCCATCTCTCCTTGCTTGTGGAGTCCTTGCTGCAGGTTCTGACTATCGCAAAGTTGGGTAAGCTGCATAGGCAGTCGTATGTCGTATCCATCGACTTCATATTGGATGAATCAGCAAGGATCATAATGATGGAGAATGGCCAGCGAAGGATTCAAATTCGGGTACATTCCCGTGCTGGTGCAGCAGCCTCGCGTAGAGATCTGGCTCGGTTAGATGAACGGAAGACGGAAGAGGCGTCAGCCGCAGCAAGGGTCCAGCAGCTCTTTCTTGCACCTGCCTCTCTTTAACGACCTGGTTACACAAACATATCCATCGTGCACTGCGTGCACCGACACGAAGGACGATTGCTCTTAATCGTCGGAATGGCGCGTGCGGTCCGTTGCCAGGGTTCTGCTGATGCCCCTCACCGACCGTGCTCACCAACGCCCGCGCAGGGTAATGATCCTTCCGAGCCGCACATACGCGTCAGTCTAGGCTGCTTGGTGAAGCACTTCGGGCGTACTCCCCGTACTGTAAGGCCATCGATTGGATCGTCTCTCACCGTCAAAGATAAAGATCGATGGCGCTGAGGCATATTCGACAACCTCCACGAAGAACATATGAGGTACTCGCCAAGAATGTCCGATTTGTTCCTTTGGCCCAGTGGTCTGACGTCGAGTACGAATGGAGTGCTGAGGGCTGAACTCAATGTGTGACCCCGAGACACAAACGGTCAGGCTTGGCCTGGGGATCGTCGAGCGCTTTGCCCGTCAGACCCTAGCGGTCAGTAGACGGCTCCATCGCTAACAGCGCGACCGCCGGAACCAAGGATCCGCTCTGTGTATACACCGTATCAACCGTATAGAGCGAAGCGCACCAATGATCCTGGCTTTTCTAGACCAGGGGAAACATTCTCGGTATATGTAGAAGGACGACCACGTCGCGACTCCACCCGCCACTCACCGTCCACCTTTCCGACACCAACACGCAGCACCCGCAGGTGATATATCGAACCTAAGGGCAACCCTACTGCTTACCTCGAAGATGGCCGCCAAATTCGAAAACATCAACACCTCCGCGGTGCCTCCTACACAGGAATCTACGATGATGGACAGCCAGACTATGGCGCAGTTGACGCACACGCTGCAGACTGTGGCTATCGCAACCCTCTTCTTCGCAGTCTGCGCCTACGTTCCGAAACTTAAACGAAAGGCCCAGCTGGGAAGCCTGCCGGTTCTCGGCGGAGAGACCGGAGAGAAACACCGACAGGCATACCTCACTTCTGCTAAGAAGATGTATGAAGATGGTTACGCTAAAGTAAGCTAATCGTGGGTCTTTTGAAATGCTTTTACTCACAGTGCTACTAGTTCAAAGACTCTGTGTACAGAATTGTAGGAGAGCAGGGTATGTTTGCGTATTCCAAGAAAAAAGAAAATGCATCGCTCATACCTCTTTAGGCGAAGACAATATCGTCATACCCTCAAGTCTGCTCCCAGAGCTGCGAAAACTCCCGGATGATGTTCTCAGCTTCCCTGCCGCCGTCAAGCAGGTATGTAGACGTGAGCAATTAATTTCGAAACTAAGCTAACCGCCTTTAGCTCATGGAAGTCAAATACACCAAACTGCAGGTTGAGGGAGCGACCGGTCTTCATTCGGTCAAGCATGACCTCACACCAGCACTCCGTAGGTCGAAACGAACAACGCTCCTCACGAGCTGGTGAAGCTGATATAATGGCAGCTCGATTAAATCCAACAATCGCTACGGAAGTCGACATCGCTCTACGAGAGTCTATGCCCCCATGCGAAGAATGGACTGACGTTTACATCTTCAAAGAGCTCGTCGATGTCATTGCAAAAGTCTCCGGTCGCATATTCGTCGGACCAGAGCTATGTCGCAACCCAGAATACATCAAGCTTGGAACGAACTACACAATGGATCTCGTTGCAGGAGTCACAGCTTGCAAGAAGGTCCGCCCATGGCTGAAGCCGTTCCTGTGTCCCCGCCTCCCAGAGATCGTCAAGCTTCGCAAGATCGAGCAACAACTGAGCGACTTTCTGCACCCGATCGTAGAGGAGAGGATGACCGCCAAGGCGAAAGATCCGAATTGGCAAGAGCCAGACGACATGCTGCAGTGGATGATCACGAGGGGTAAAGGTAAAGACACGATCGACGAAATTACCAGGTTCCAACTCGGTCTCATCTTCGCCGCCATCCACACCACAAGCATGACCGTCACCAGCATTATGCACACACTCGCCGTCACGCCAGAGTACATCGATCCTCTCCGTGAGGAGATCCGCAATGTCATGTCCAACAACGATGGAGTCATTACTTCCCGCGCTCTGCAACAGATGGAGAAAGTTGATAGCTACATGAAGGAAGTCATCCGCTTCTACCCAACAGGCTACAGTAAGTTAAATCCTCTCGATATGGATCACTCTTGGAGAACATCACAACTAACCCTACCCCCTCCAGCGGCCTTCAACCGCCGCGTCCTCAAAGGCATCACCCTCAGCAACGGCCAATACATCCCACCCGGTGTCACCATCGAAGTCCCCTCGGCAGCCGTCTACCTCGACGAAAAGAACTACCCCTCCGCCGACGAATTCGACGGTTTCCGCGCCTACAAGGCACGCCAGAGCGGCAAGGCAGCGGACATTGCACGCAACCAGTTCGTCACCACCAACGAGACCAACCTCAACTTCGGCTACGGAGCCCACGCTTGCCCGGGCCGCTTCTTCGCTGCCAATGAGATCAAGATGATTTTGGTTAGGCTGATCCTCGAGTATGATGTTAAGATGCCGAACGATGAGACCGTCAGGTATCCGATGGTTGATGTGAGCACGCAGAGTATGCCTGATCCGACGAAGGCGTTGAAGTTTAGGAAGGTGCAGATTTGAGTGCGTGGGATGGTGTTGGTTTGGATCATATGCACATGACAGGGAAGAGCATGGAAGCAGGTCTAGAGACGGTTTTTCTACTCGACTTGTGTATCGACTGTTGCGACGGGTCGTTGTTTCTGCTGCATACCTTTCTCTCTTTTGCGACTTCCTCTTTTCTGATAGCTCGATATCATTCCTCTGGCCAAGAAGCGCCATGCTTTCGTTCCGCAACATGTGTGTCCGCTCCCTCACATCCACCCAATTACGCAGTATCTCCACGTACTTTGATGTCACCCGAAGCTACCACATCACGCCTTCCGTCCCCGATACAGTCATCGATGGCATTCTGAACCTCCCGGGTGACCTGGCCTAGGACAAATGATACATGTCAGCGTCTTCAATTCCAGATACCCAAACAATACCCAGACTAGTTTTTGGAAACAAGAAGAAATAAGAACATACCATCCCCACTGTTATCCTCACTCACGGTACCCCAGCCCATACATCCAATCACCCCGATGATAAGTCCGATGACATTTATCCCAACGACCGCTAGACTGGTGACGAGGATGAGTAGAAGCATGCCGGGGATGTTGGTAGTAGAAGAAGCGTTTTCGTTGACGTTGGTTGGGATGTCAACAGGTATTAGCGTGGTGGAGAGGTGGTCTGATGGCATGATCGGCCGTTTGGTAGATTAGTGGATGATGATGGCGATGGATTCGTAGGTCGGTAGGATTGCTCGACTTGTAGGTCGAGAAACGAAAGAGCGGAGAATTGCGATAAATGAAGTAAGATAATAGCGATGTAAATGATCGATCTTCTTTCGTTACCCTCAGTACGAGTGTGATAAGTGGAGTGCCGATTTGCTGATATCTTTGGCAAACGAGCGTAATCTCACAAGAGCGACGAATACCGCGTTTCGCACACGCGAAGAGATGTGTTTTGTAGAACAGGCTGGTCATCGGTGTAGAGTGAGCGTGTCTGGGTTTCGTCTCAAGCTATGATGGAGGCGCTGGGACTGTCTTAGTCTTTGTCTGAGTTAGGATGCAACTTCAACGCCCTGGATTGGTTTGATGGAGATGATAGAAGAGGTATTATGTGTTGGTCTTCAGGGCTATCTTACGCTGGGTATGGAATATAACAGCTGATGACATCCCAGTGCACTGCGGATGGGATTAGAATTTCACGAGGCCTAGCTTTCTGAGATTCTCTGCTAGAGACAGAGGCCGTGCGTAGAACAGTACGCGTAGTTCTTGCTAATGGGATATGGGCAACGCGTCTACCAAGACAAGACAACAAAAGATCTCAAGTCACGAAGCCATGCAAATGGGAAAAGGATGTCTGAATCAAAATGTACATTGTGGGTATATTGTAATTATCATATCTTCCGACCAAATATTCCGGCGTTCATCGTACGCTCATAAGACGAGCATTCACCGTAATGAAACTCTACAGTTTCAGATGCACGTGGCAACCTGAGACCCTCCTATCGAGACCTTTCATCTCCTACTCCTCGCGTCCGCGCCTCCTGTTGTTATCAATGAAGACCTTTTTGAACCTAAAGTGGCACAAGTCCTTAGTAACCTGCCACGAGCTCTTCGCATTCTCAGCAACAAGCTGACGTGTAGGCTTTTGGAACAACTGGTCAATCTCCTCAAGCGTCAGATCCTTGGTCTCAGGCATGAAGAAGATCTGGTAGAACCAGCCGAGCACGGCGATACCGCCGTAGAAACCAAGCGCAAGACCAGTCTTGGTGAAGGTGTTTTGCATGCCGGTGAAGTTGTAGGTGACGATGAAGGAGGAGAGGAAGAGCCATCCGGTGGAGGTGGTCATACCGTAGGAACGGAGGTAGGTGGGGTAGACCTCGGAGGGAATGACCCAGGTCAATGCGGCGTAGGAACCGAAGAACAGCTCGTAGAGAATGAGACCGGTGAAGTAGGTGCCGAGAGTGGCGCTCAGAGAATCCATGTGGTATGAGATACCGACAAGGACGAGACCGACCAGGAAGCCAGGCAACATGGCAATGGCCCAGAAGCGACGACCGCAGGTCTCCATGAGGAAAATGGCGGGGATGGTACCGAGGAGGAGGGAACCACCTCCGACAAGAGACATGTAGTTGGCGGTTACGGTGTCGAAGCCGACTTGGTGCATCAGGACGGACATGTAGTACATGATGGCGTTGATACCTGTGAATTGGCCGAGGAAGATCATGATGTTGGCGTAGATGATGGCGCGGCGAGCACGCGGCTTGGTGAAGAAGTCCATCCATGGGAAGCGGTTGGTGCGTCCAGCAGCGACCTCGGCTTCTTCCATTTCAGTGCTAACCTTCATGACGAAGAACTCCTCGCGAGCCTCATGGGTAGCAGTGCCGCGAATGCGCTTCCAGACCTTGAAGGCCTCCAGAGGCTTGCCCTTGTGCATAAGGTATCGAGGGGATTCGGGCATGAAGAGGATACCGACACCCATGATGGTGGAGAAGACGAGGGAGCTTCCGAGGATGTAACGCCAATTACCAGGCACAGTGATGAACATAGCGGCGACAGCATAACCAAGGACTTCTCCGAGGGCGATGTTGAACTGGTAGAGGGAGACGAGGTTACCACGGAGTCTGCTCTCGACAGTCTCAGCGACGTAGACGGGTACGGTACCACCTTCGAGACCGACACCAGCACCGAGGATGACACGGGCAGCGACGATCATGCCGTAGTTCATGGATCCGGCTTCGAGCGCACCACCGATTGTGTAGAGGATACACGAGATGATGATAGCCCAGCGGCGACCAAAGTATTCGTTGCAGGGCGAGATGAGGAAGGCACCAGCGACAGCTCCGAGCGGCATACCAGAGTTGACGAGCGAGTTTTGCTGGGCAGTAAGGTGGAGGTCGTCGGGAAGTGTGAGGTTAGCACCAGAGATGAGCGACTGATCCAGGCCAGATAGCAGACCACCCATGGATGCGAACGCGACAATCATCCATGTGAAATGCTTGGGGTTCTTGAACTCGATGTCGAAGAAACCCTTCTTGTAGTTGGCCTGCTCCAACTCCTTCTCAAGATCCTGGATCAGGTTCTCGGATTCCCATCCTCTCGCATCCTCGAGTTGTTCTGTCTTTGCCTTGGGGGCGGAGTAGTCCGGTGTAGGTGCGACCTGGATGTGGTCGGCTTTTTCAGTCTGCAGAGTGTGCTGCGGCGACGAGGTCTCCTCAACCATCTTGGTGTCCTTCTCGTCCATGATGGGAAGTGATCAACAAGAGATCAACAGTGAGGAAGGGAGGAAGAAAAAGGGAGAAAAGCTGCAGCAAAAGGCTGGTATCTCACAACCACCCCTCAAACGGACGCATCTCCGCCCTTTATAAACCCCAGTGGAGACGACCCATGCCCATGGAGAAGCCTCCCCATGGCGCTCTCCATCCCACCACCAACGTGACGTGACGTACGCGTGGAGTCTCCATGGCACGAACGCGGCAAAAAATTTGCCTTGCGCGGATCGCAATGCCGGGGTAGTAAGCACCAGCGCAAAGCCGGTTGTTGCAGACTTATCATGGGCTGCCCAGGAAGAGTATAGACGGGTGGAGATAAACAAGCAAAGGACCGACCGCCTTGGTGGAGCTTGGCTGCAAAGAAGCTTCTAGCGCCCCACATGCGGCTCTGCGGTTGGATCCAATATTCCTGCCGAGATACTCTCCGGACAGGTGTGGAAGGTCGCGCGTGTAGTCGTCTCGAGGAACTTTGGCATACCACAGCAAGACGTCTTTATTGCTGGTATTGAGGGCGCCAAGTTTGACATGAAGATAAGCATCGCGGAACATGCGGCAGTGGCGCCTGGCGTAACGTTCGCGACCAGTTCTCGCTGTTCCCAAACTACCTAGGTACCAGGCATCTCGAACGGCCCAACCAATACCAAACTCTGCGCGCTACGCCAACAAACAACGCGCGCAATGACGTCGAACGCCCTCGTGATGTGTCAGGAAACGGCGCGAATAGCCAATTCCCCCAAGATCAGAAAGTCCATGCGTGCATCGGAATCGGAGCATGGGGAGGGGGGCGGGTTGGTGTGAAGGCCATGCATATCCCCTCACCATCGGAGAAAACGCTTTACTTCGGCGCCCATGCCTGTTTGGGACGAGCCGGGAGGGCAGCGCAGAGGGCGCATACCTTACTAAAGTACGCCGTCCGACTTGTTCCGCTCCAGCCTCGTCTTCCCCCGGTTCTCCAGCCCGTGTTGTTGGGTAGGTGGGTGGAACCCGGGGTCCTCGCATGGCCTCGCATGGCTCTCGCATGGCGGGTTGGGGGCGCTTCGGGCAGAACCGGCGGCGCAGACATCACTGTTCAAGCATCCGGGAGAGAAGATGCTTCGCAGTTCTTATCGCTCCGACTGTCTTGTCGCTGATGTCGCATCTTGAGCGTTACTGTTGTCCCTCAGGTTTAGCACTGGAGGCGATATCAATAGCTGCGACAAGGCATCAAACCAGCACTGCGTTGATCTGAAAGTCGGAGGTGGACCACATCGCTAAATCCACCACCAAAGCGCCAATATCGGACCATTCGACTCCCTCCGAGATTCTAGAGCCCCGATCCAATACGCTACCACAAGAACCAATTGAAGCCATTAGCTAAACCAGTCTCCATCCGACGAATCCATATCAAGCATCGTGAACTGCATGTGCAGGCGGTGTACCTGGTCGAGAAGCTTCAGTGGAGTGTGCCTTGACTCGAGCTACCTGGAAATCCCATACCATGGCCTTGGCTACCTAAAACAGAGCTTGCATAATACAATACTCGTGGTGTACATAGATCCACTCTGGGCTGGATCCCAAGAGTGATGTTCTGCTTTGCTCTCTTCCTGTTCATGGTAATCTTGGTGGTTACAACTCAACCCATCACCACTATCGCGGGCTTTGACCTGGAACGCGATGGTTTCATTTGTGTCTTGCGGCGCAATTACGCTGAATTCTAGAGGGTATGGCTTTCTAACGTTACGACGCTGCGTATCGCAGCATGGGTACGCGGCTGTACCTGGGT